GTACCCAAGGAGTTCGGCTCATTCCCCACTTGTTGATCCCCAATTCCCACTTGTTCCAACCTGTCTGAGTTGTTTCATTTTATTTCCAAACGACACCGTATGAGATAGATACAGTGAAACAGACATACAAACATAATACAGACATACAGACAAACAGAAAAACGGACATTTGTGCTTTGTATATAGTAAGGACAGATATATAGGAATGATCGACACAAAAGATCAATAGTCAGCTGCTAATGCACCAGTGATCAGTCTTATGTCGATTCATACAATCACATCGTCCTCTTATATCATAGAAAAGGAGATGTATGAATTACGTGCAGAAGGGCCCTGTCTCAAAAATGTTCGATTATTCGATTATCGCAGGGATAGTCCAAATAAGGTGCTTACTTCAATAAGCACCAGAAGAGCTCATAAAAGCTTTTGTCTGAAAAAAGCACGATGTATTAGATTTGGTTGAGGAGCGAAACCAGAGCCTCTGTCTGACAAGGGAGAGCACTATCTGTGCGCCACATGAGCGCTTGATCTAGGGCGGACAGCTGTACAGCTCAAATGAAGCTATCTTCAACAAATTTTGAGCGCTACTAACTTTTTAGAAAGTTCATTTAGCTCTTCAAGTTTTATATTGGTAAACAGCATTCTGAACTCTATCGATATACATAGACCTTAATTCAAAACTCCACGGAACGTTGAAACCCTTTCCTGGTTGGATCTTTTATCGCCCCGATCAGCTGTTATTAGTTCTCTAACTGTTAAATACGGTCAGTCACGTCCTGTATCCCACACGGGGGAAGCAGTGCCATACGAAAAAAGGAGTGATTTGGCTTAAGGGTAACGGAACTTTTCCCGGATTGCGGCATTCTCCCTTGCGGCATGCGGCAAATGTCACTGCAATTACCGTACTCACCCCGCCTCCGCCACGATATGACGCAGTATTTTTCGTTGTTTGCCTTCCTTCTTTATTGGTTTTGATCATTTTTATCCTTCTTTTTCTTGTTTTTTATATATATGAGACTTGTTTAATTAGAATGACTCCTACCATATTAGCGACGATCAATACCGCATTGAAATTGAAGGGAGCGGTCAGCCAATTCGAACAATTGAAGGACCCCCTACCTCACAAATCGCGCGCTCCAATCTTCCATCGCAATCTTGTGATACGCGGCGGGTGCGGCGTGCGC